CAAATATTGATTGGATATCCAAAGTAGAACAAAATCTCCACTTAAACATTAGAGGGGGGGGGGGGGGGGGGGTGTAGGGGAATCAAAACAGCCAATTCCTCGTGATATTTTTTATATATGCAAATAAAAAAGAAAAGACAAAAAAAGGCAAGCAAACACATTATTAAACTCTCTCAAGCTGCACACCAATTAACAACTCTCGCTAAACAATGCAAATATTACGTACATGCTTCCAAACCCATTAATCAAAGCAGGAGCATATCCAATAAATAAAGTTAGTAGATTGATTATTGGTTAAATGACACTTAAATACCATAAAGTTTTCCCCATTTTGACGCTTAAATTACATAACGTGTTTCACACGGCACTTAAAATATCAAGCTGTTCATCATTGAGATCCTGCTAAAATTGTTCATTTTTTTAATAATAAAAGAACAAAAATGCCAGTCTGCTAATTGGTATTTAAGTTCTTCTTCGTCCTCCCTCAAACGAGCACCAAATTCTCCCAAATCTCTTCTATGTACATCGTCGTTGTCAACCCCTTTCTTAGAGTCATATTTTTCTCATTATAACTTCCCAGTCACCATTAAAGCATCGAGAGGAAGGACCTTGTGTTTTCATTCAAAATATTTGGGCATTAAAGGATGAACATAATTTAAGTCATCAATGAGGTTAAAGAGGAACTAAATTTGCTATCTACTAGTCACACGGGAATATTCTATGGAATATTCTCATGAGTGACTAACAGAAGATACCAACATGTAAAATTTATGAAATTTATGGTATTTAAGTGTTGTAAAAAATAACTTGTAGTATTTAAGCGTCAAAACAAGGGAACTTTGTGGTGTTAAGTGCCAACAAAATCAAGTATTTTCTTTAGAGACTAAAATGAATAAAAAAACGTTTACTTAACATAGTGCAACCTCATCATTAACCTATGAGGTGAAGTAGAGAACGCGACCATAATTCCTCTCTTTAATCCTTCTTCTAATTTTTTCAAGAAAGTCACATTTTTCCTGAGATAACATTTTAATGTTTGATCCAAAATCCTATACTCCAGATCCCAACACCTCTAACCTAACCAAAAGCATTGCTCTTGAGAGTAATTCTACGAGAAATTAAGAAAAGTGGATCAAACTCAGATGACAAAAGAATCAAAGATGGAGTTTTGAGAAGAAAATTTGGTCAGTTTATTTGGTCAAGTTATTGTCTAAAGCATTTTTTCAGTGGGTTAATTAATGGGTTTGCTAATTCTAGTTAGAAGCATAAAAAAAATCTCAGATGGATAATATTAGACTATTTGTTTTTTGGCAATTTTGAACATCTTTCACTATGCGTTTCTACATTTATAGTTGACTTGCAATAATGTTATATGTATTCTCGTCTTTTTCTTTTTAACATTAGAAGAAAATCTTTATGTTTAACTATAAGCTTGACATATACCTTTTATAAGTCATGAGCATTTAACTTTTCTACTTAAGAGAATTTCATTCAAAAGCTTAGAGTTTGTCTTACCAATTGATCATTCACTGTTTGTATTTAAACATAAAAGTAGAAACTAAAATTATTGATATCGGGAGCAAAAGTCTAATAGGACCTAGCAAGAATAAAATAATATAAAATTGAGATATCAAGTGAATAGTTTCAAAAACCACAAAAATATTCAATTTAATAAAAAGTATATAATGGCAGAGTATATGAATTTATACCCCACTTGCAAGAAGATGTTGGAGAGGTTTTGGGGGATTAGTGAGGTTGTATTGTGAGAGAGGAAGGGGAGAGATAAATTGTACAGAGGATATTTTATTGGGTTGTGAGAAAAAGAGAGAGGGTTCCGATTTTCATTGATCTTTAACTTAGGGGCTGTTTGGTTCGCTATTATAAGGGGTGGAAAACTTAGAAAACCCTTCCACGTCAGATTTTTAGCCCTTCACATCATTTTTTTGTTTCCGTCAATTTCTTTGTGCCGCTTTGGTTCGCTCGGATGTAAGAGGGAAAACTCTGCTGAAATCGTCGCCACCTCAGATTTTTTTCCCTCTCCGATTTCCTTCCCCAACCGAGTAAAATTGATGAAAACTCTGTCACGTCAGATTTTTTTCCTTCTCTGCTTTGTTTACAAAAGTTTTCCTTTTTTTCTATGCGAACTAAACACAAGAAAAATAAATACATTGGTTTCTCATTATTTTTTATGTGCGAACCAAAACAAAACAATCTATTTCTTAGAAAAGTTTGTAAAACTCAAAACTTGTATTTCTTTACATGGAATTGCATTTCCCTATATCAAAGAAACGAACCAAACATTACGATTAGTAAATTAGTTTTCAGTGTTTAGAGGAAAATTGATATGATATAATTGGTAAACCAATAGTTAATGTTGACTATTAGTAAATTATTAAGTTTAAATTAGTTTTATATTTATAATTTAAACTAGTTTTAAAGTTATAATCATTTTTAGCAAACATTACGATTTTATCCACTTTGGTGGTAATACTAATAAAATATCATAATAAACTTGCGTAATATACATTTGGAGTGATAAATTTACAAGAGATTTATCTTATATTATATGTTATCAAAACCAAAATCTCGTTTTTCAGTATTTAGATGACAGAAGGGTTATCTGGCTGAATAATTCATAAACAAAAGGACATATAAGAAATATCAACGAGACAAAAGAAAGGGAAAAACGCGTAAACAAAAGGACGTACAATAAGTATCAACGAGAAATATCATGATACTTCCTGAAAATATATGATGAATAAAAAAAGGGCATGACCAACTGAACGACGAAGTCGTTGTAGTATAGTGGTGAGTATTCCCGCCTGTCACGCGGGTGACCCGGGTTCGATCCCCGGCAACGGCGCTTATTTTTTTCTCTTCTTGGCCGAAAAAAGATTTTAAAGCAGGAAAATGGATTTCACAAAAAATCAGACGATGAATAGCAAGTTTAACCTCAGATTTTGCTTGTGACTATATATTAATTCTCGAATTATAGTCCTCGGACTATATAATCTTGAGATTATTTTAATACAATCTAATATTTATTTCCACCTGATCTAACATTGAGACAAACTTAAAATAATGTTGATCAGTGTTTGTTTTAAGGGGAGATATTGACCACTGGGTAGGAATGCACAAAAATATCAATATCCATGAGTATACATATATGGTTATTAAAGTCTTTAACCAATAGGATATTGTTATGGATATGGTTATATAATGAAATATCTGGATCTGTAATGAGATAATGTATGGTTATAGATATCTGAATATGTACTAGTCATATTGTTGCAACAATTTTAATCTTTAAATTAATGAATTTGAGGTTAATTTTGATGACTAAGGTATTTTTTTAATTTATAAAAATGATTAAGATATCTAACTTTTTAGATATAACGAACATGTTAATAAACTCACTTGTATCATATTAACTATATTTTTTTCAATATGATCTAGTTTTATCATATTCGTTTTATATTCGCATGTATATCTGCTTATATATTCACATGCATATGTGTATCCGTGTATGATTTTAGCAGATATGGATATGAATTTTCCTTACCGAGTCATATTCGTATCTATAATCATATCCATAATTAATAAGCAGATACGTATATGTTAACTATCATATTTGAGTAATATTGTGTTGATGCATTTGTTTAGCAAAAAATTACAAATTGGACATGACTTTGTATTACAAAAAAAAAAAGAAGAAAAAGACATACTACCATCCACCTATATATAACTCATTCATTCAACAAAATACAATAAAAAACTAAAAACATCTAATTAAACACGAAATTCTCCCAGTAAAATATCAAATAGTACTTGACATGTATCAAATTCTACTTGAACATAAAAAAAAAACATTATCCACTGTTTAGAAGGCATAAAAGTCAGTACTAAACTCTATAACATGCATGCAGCTAATATTCAAAATTTAACTGTAAGAATATGTCCACTTGCTTGTATTGAGAAAGCGCATGCTTGCTTTTGCAAAATCTCCCCATGTATATATACTTTCTGTCTCCATTTCTCCATCGAAAATTACCGATAATCAAGAAATGGCGTGGCTACCATAATGAAGAAATGAATCTTTTAACCTAAAAAAATAGGTTAAAATTATTTTAAAATAATTCCAAGGGTATCGAAGAGAAAAAAAAAATACATGGCCTTACTCTTATAAGACCAAAAGGTTTGCTTGCCTCTCCATCATGAAGATGAATAAAAATAATTAATGCGTCCTCATACATTTAGCTGGAGTGCGCTGTCATGACACGTATCTAGATTCTCGCTATCTAAATTATACCAATTAAGTACGTGGAGGAACTCTGGACTCATTTAATCTATTAAGATTAATTATTTATGTTTGATTACGATTATAAGAGTAATTGGTTACTTTTTGTAAAAATGCATTAAGCATTTTACCATAATGTTCTAACAAAACCCCACTTTAAAATTAAGGTTATGATGAAACGATCTTCTATAGAAAATTTTTAATAATATTTTATTCAAAAGCACGAAAGAGAGAGATGATTTTTCTCATAATTTAACCTAGGACAGGTTTGGTTGGAAGGAAAAAAAAAGAACGAAAGAGAAAATGCATTACACGTTTTTCCTATAAGCATGCTTTTTCTTGTTTAGTTGCAAATTTGAAACTAACTAGTATACAATATGTACGTTGCACATGATGCATATTAAGCACGTTGCACGTGATGCATATTAAGCAACTACACGAGTCAAAATCCATAATGTTTTTATAATTATGCATTAAACTTATACACAAATACACAAAGATGAATGCCAATTAACCATTATCTCACAGGTCTTAGGATTATGTCCATAGAGATGAAACTTAATCAACCATATATATGGTTTGCGTGATAAAAGTGATAGTACAATCAAGAAGAGGTAAGTTGACTTTAACTGCAAATAACTAAATATTCAGCATCACATTACAAATCGAAAAAGTATTAAATTAGCATGACGATATACATAAATTGAGAAGAAAAAAGAGTCAACATGATAGCTTGCAAACATAGCTTTATTGTTGAAAGCCAATAATTAAAAATAAATAATATTTTTTACATACAACAAAAAGCTAATAAATTTCCAGCAATATACAAGTTTTCTAGAAGAAACTACCCTTTATAAATCAGATCACATACTCGCATTACCGGCAATATAGTCCCTCAAAGAAGGCACTTAAATTCATACAAACCCTAAAAGGCTACGGATGCCCACTTTCCAACGCCTTTATATGTAGGGTATATAGATGGCCTTACATTGACAGGGTGACCTCTTCCATCTGTGTATCTCAGTAAAAGAGAAAAAAAAAATCAAGTTTGGCTTAAAACATAAACAAAAAAGATTAGCACATGAAATGATCATATTACATAGCTCAATTCACAACAAATAACATTACATGAACATAAATTCTGTAAAGTTGCAGAGAAGAGTTTACTTAAAGTAAGTTAAATCACGCTTCACGTACAAACTTTGATAAGAGATGAGTGGGCACATAAAAAGTTAAAGCCAGTTTCAACTGAGATAAAAATGAGGGGTTATCTTTTAAGATAGTCGATACAAGTCCAAAGAGACTTTAGAGGATATTACATGGACCGAGGAATAAAAAAAGATAATAGGGGAGCTATGGAGGAAGCCTCATGGATTAGCAGAAGCCAACACAAAAGGTATAGGAATATTAAAAAGATATGGTAGTTGATATTTTAATAAATGTTACAGAGCTTAATAAAGATAAATAGAGAAAAAAGGTTCTTTAATTGTTGTTTTTTGTTGTTATTATCACTACTGCTAGGAACAACATAACAAGAACTTTATGCATCTTACTCAACAAAGATGTGGTAAGATGTCTTCAGAGGATTAGTCTCGACTCTCAAATCTTCTACCAGATAGATGCATTAAAGGTCATGCACATAACAATTGAACATGACCTCTAGCAAATTGTCTCAACTCTCAGATCCATAATAGATCTTGACAACATGTATACTGCTAAAGACAATACATAGACTGGACCAAAAATAACTCACTGTAGAAATCTTTGGGCACATACCATTTTTTTATGAGAAAATTCAAAGTAATATACGGCTGCAATACAACTTTCTAAATTATAGCACCACTATGCATACATTAAATATTGCACATGCTTGCATGCAAACGCGTAAAGGTTACTGACTTGTTCATAAGCTGGAGACTCATGTTCTAGCTTTACGTTTCTCAAAAAGTAATAAATAACTGTAAAAAAATAAAAATACAAATAGGTGTAGATTATGGAGAAAAAATGCCCTTACCTGCTTCTCTGTGTACTTTAGTGCAGATATTAAAGAAACAGCCTCTGTATGACTAAAATCAACGTCATAACCTAGCATGTAAATGTAAAACATCTTCCACACATATTTATTTTTCCCATAAGGTGACAAACCCTGTCAAAGAAGAAAGTACTTCCGTTGGTATCTAGTCCATCATGTTCAACAAACTTCTAGTACATACAAATAACAAATTACTAACTGGAGCATCAAAATGAAGTCATGTTCTTTCTAGTTAAATTGAAATACTAATGCATAAAGTACCTAAAAAATAAATGAAAAACAAGAACTAAAAAGGTTTTCTCATCCCAGTATGACACGCTAATAACAGGCAAGGATGATGTCGAGTATGCATTACTGGACAATGTGCTCAGCCATAAAGATTTTCCTACATCCATCACCGCAATAGATATGGTACAGAACATAGTAATCAGCTAAACCAACTGGCCAAAAATTATTCCTAGAGATGCATATGTAAATCAATAATTCAAAACTAAAGAAAGGTTATAATACTAACAAATAAATGAAAATGAAAGTTTAAAGTTCTATATGTTAAGACTCTGGTATAATGCAGTTTAAAACTTTAAAAATGGTTATAATAGAGCATAGGATGGCAAAAACATGGATACCTAATTATAGTTTAGATAATTTCTACCTTGTCTATCAAGTCTTTGTTGTCCGCTGTTGAGAAAAACCAAAGTCATAGTATATTATTACAATTGTATGCTGGTAAATGGTTAGTATCATTTAATAACAAATATTGTGAGATAAATGCGAAAAAGGAAGGTGTTAATGTTCCTAACCCCAACAAATGTAGTACAGAGGCTCCTACAATAAGAAGTTCGCATAGAGACTATTGTTTCATAAGCCAAAAAGCTAAGGGACATCATATTTAGCACATAATAATTTCTCTTTCTTATTTACAAGTCAAAAACATATTCCCCTATGTCATCTTTAAAGCATTTATTCTCATAATTCAGCTTTCTGTAAGGGGAGGAATCTACGATAACATTAATGCATGTATGTCTTTGTTTTTGTTTTCTTTTTCTTTTTCTTTTTATTGCAGACATGTCTAAGTTCACACCACTAAACATCACTTCAGTTCATAATTAACTTTGTACGAAGGAATTATAACACCTAATGGCACAAACAGAAACAGTCGAAGTTAAGGTTAAAAGGAAGAACGGAGAAAGAACATATGAATAGAAGAGCAAAGGGTAAGGGCAAAATAAGAAGAGACAAAAAAAGTTGACACTAAGTTCAATAGGTAAGGCCCATAGATATTTTCATCACCATAAGTATCAAGATTTAAAGAAAATTATGCAGTCATAGCACCCAGTCTAACCCCACTACCCAACAACTATTGATGGCAAGAGTATCTCAACCAACTAAGTATTTTATCTAAAGTTCCCAAAGAACTGCCTAAGCTTCGATCTAGTGCAAACTACCAATAGACAAAATATATAATAAATGATTTTCGTAACTGAGCAATGAAATAATTGTATAGTTGGGAGAATTTATTTTTTTTGTAACTGCCGATGAGTCAATTTGAATTCAGTTTGCAAGCTTCTAACACAACAGGCTGAAGTACAAACCTGCAAATCATTTTCCAAATCACAAGGCGAGCAATCACCAGAAAAGGTCCTCATATATGCCCCAATTTTTGTGCTAACTTTAGCTCTCTTACCGGCAAGCATATCCATAAGCACAGAGGGTTTCTAACGAAATGCACTAATTTATCCAGCAATGGTTGATCCCATTGAGCATGACATATATTCATCTTCTGACAACTCAGACAATCCACCGTATGTGAACCTTGTAAAAATGATCTGTTGAAATAATTAAAATCAAGGTATTTTAGTTGAATTTACTCATCATATGAAGTGTTAATTTACTTATGAGAATACTTATAATATAAGCAAGACAAAAAAGATAATCAGCTAATCGACATGCTTAAGTAATCAGCGTACACAAACAAGATAGAAAAAAGAAAAATAGGAAAGAAAAAAATCTACAAGATCTTTTATGATCCGGTATATGTTTAATATTGTAGTGGAAAAGGTTTATGCTTATATGTCACATAAAACAGTAAAATATGCTTCTGATGACAATAATAAACATTAAACTTACAAAATGTTGTGAATTTCACATACTTGGTACCATAATAAGTACCTGTCAGATCCTCATAGAAACATTCACTTTACATTTTAGATTAATAGAAGAACAACACAGTATCCTCGTATGGATCATGGTTATATTATCTTTATGTCCTCAGTGGATACTGGGACAGACTTTCGACATGTTTAGTCCAAAAAAGCTTTATTTTTGAAACTTTAGCTGATTTATGTTCTAGTATACTACATTCACCTTTCTTTTGAAATACTTACCCTAGTCACTTCTAAATAAAATTTAACATCATTTCCCCCCATAAATAAGAATGACATTTTGTTAAGCCCAATGCTAAGTTATTGGGTTTCCCCTACCTATCCTTGATAAGTAGTAAAACTGAAAAAATGCTATCAATAGATTAATTATATTGGAAAAATCTAAAGAAGGGTACAATTGAAAATTAAAGTTTTGGTGTAGATGAAAAGCAAGATTAATTAATTTTCTCAGTAATGTGTGTTAACCTTGCCATTTTCTTAAAAACTAATGAAAGATTTATTTGTCATGATAAATGCACATGCAAACATGCTCCAAAACTTACATGCAACCAGGTCTAAAATCACAACCCTGCAGGTATCTTTTCAATATGCTCTAAAAGATTTGATGGATTTCAAACTCAATTAAAGATCGGACTCAAAAACTACATATGAAGCATCTTCCATAAAAAGTACATTGTCACCAAGATAAAAATATACGCAAAACGATCAACTTACCAACACAAAAGTAAACCAGACCTCTAACAAATAAAAGTAACACATAGTGCTTTACATTAATTAGATACTAAATATCCAGTCATGACAAAGATTAGCCTCAATGTCAGCTTGTACATTTTTATTAAACAAAAAGGCTTAACTGCACTTTACTACGCTAAAGTTTAATTTATTTTTAACTTTGATTGCCTAAAGTTTAAATTTGCTGAAATATCCTTAAGTTTCACAAATTTCAATTTTACTACCTTCCTTTACATCATTGTTTAGAATTTTGTTTAAAAGGCATCACATATTCACATGATAACCATGTGATAATATTTGGATTTGTATACCCCCAAACTGAAAAGAAATGCCTCCTCATATCTTTCAACTAAAAACACCAAAAATTATTAAACTATAGCAAACATAACTACTATTTAGCAATATTGACAACAATACTGAAAGAAAATTCCTAAATTGAAAGGAAGAATCAACATGAAATAGTTTTTTGAGAAAAAACTAAGAGAAGGTGTCAAAGTTAAAAAGGGTGAAACTTTGGGCTATTAGGCAAATTTGAACTTCAAGATACTAAAGTTAAAATTGATGAAAGGTTAGGGTGTTGAAGTGCATTTAACCCTTGTAAAAGAAAAAGATTTATTTGTCATGAAGTACCACAACATTACATTCATGAACAACAGTTACAACTATTATGGAGAATAAGTACCAAGGCATGCACTCATGGTTTGTGCAACAATTGACATTTTTGTACCCTTGAAATTCAAGTATAAGTTCTTGCTAATTGCTACCTGATCATCAAGAAAGTCAGTGGATTTGTAGCAGATCTTGATGCCATTGGACAGAAGTAACTCAGTAGCGCCAATGCTTGGATATTCATACTGCCGTAAAATTTCCCTGTAGGAAATAACCACATGTTCAGAAACAATTTACATGAACAACCACATGTTGCACATGTCAATATGACACAATACGCACACAACACTATAACGTTTGGCCAGTAAAACAATCATATTCATCCAAAAACTAGTTTAGTTGGATATGTTCAAAGTAGGGTAAATCAGTTTGAATTGTCTTGTGCCAAAAGGTGAATAATCCCTAAAAAAATCAATAAATAATGGTTACTAATTGCAACAATAAAATATAAATAATTTATTACAAATATGGTTGATACATGTGTATCTTCTCTTCGGAACTTAACGATCCTCATGGGAGCTTGAGGATAGATGATTCTCATGATAGCATGAGAATAAGGGTATAAAATAGTACAGTAGAACGCAGGTGGAAGCGTGGAACGAGACGACGAGCAACAGATTCGAATAATCCAGTTTTTAGCTCGTGAGTCGACTCATACATATACATGAGTCGACTCATCAGGTTGAGTCGACTCATGACTGTCATGAGTCGACTCACGAAACCCAGTCTTGTTAGCAAAAGTTTCTGACCAGTCGACTCATCAGTTATGAGTCGACTCATATGAGGTCATGAGTCGACTCATAACTGTTCATGAGTTGACTCATCGATGATTTCCTGGTTAGTTTGGGTTTCTGTTCGCACGAATCCTGTTGGGGTTTGGTCTGGTTATTTACCAGATTGTCATCCTCATTTGTACATCTATATAAAGGATTGTTTTAGGATTTCTAAGCAAATCAAGAATCAGAGAGAGATTCTAATCTTTGTATTAGGGTTTAGAGAGGATTGAGAGGTTATTCTCGATTCTAGTGAGATTGTGAGAGAGAGATTGTAATCTTTTGTTTCTTCATAATCTAGAGAAGGTATTTTTCTTTGTCAAAACTGAATTGTTTTGTGTTTTAGTTATCTTTTTCTCAACCCACCTTTTGGTAATTCTGCGACCAAAGGGTGCTCGCACGACGACTCATATCAAGTTGGTATCAAAGCAATCAGATCCGGTGAAAGGGTATACTATGTATGATCCTTACTCGATCGTAATACAAAAAGCTTGGCGAGATCCTTATTTCATTGGAAGGAGTCTGGGTTTTAAGGAGGAAGAAGATGACTGAAGGAGACAATTCTACGAGGATTGATGCATTAGAGAAACAGATCGAGATGATAGGTTCGACTCTCACACAACTCATCAGTCTTATCCATGGAGATGGCAAACAAGGTGAATCTTCTTCAAAGAAAATTGTTAAGTCCGATGTGGAAAGAGTAGATTCAGATTTCGATGATGAGGAGGAGACCGTTAAGGCTGTATTACATCAAGGGGGTAAGAATTCTTATCAGAACCTGAAGATTGACTTCAAGGTGAAGATTTCTGTTTATGATGGGAGTGTTGATATCAAGAGGCTCGATGATTGGATTGAGCGGATAGAGACGTATTTTACTCTTTATGGCTATTCGTTAAAAGAGAAGATTATGTTCACGACTTTGAAGCTTTCTGGGCACACATTGACGTGGTGGAAATCCTACTGCAAGTAGGAGAAAAAGGCGGTGTCGTGGAACAAGTTCAAGGAGTTACTGAGGAAGCAGATCTACCCGGTAGGATTCCTTGAAGATTATTGGTACAAGTGGTACGGCTTGCGCTAAAGGATCAATCAAACCGTTCAAGAATACACCACGGAGTTCCAGCAGCAGGCGATGGTCCTCAACATTGCGACAGAGAAATATTCCGTGTTCATGAAGTATATGACGGGATTGAGCGATTACATCCGAAAAAAGATAAAGCTATTCACGGTGGAATCAATTGCAGAGGCAAGCATGAAGTCTATTGCCCTTGAGGGTAAGCAAAAGAAGGGCAACGAGGCTAAGATAGACTCCAAACAGACGGGAGGCGAGTCTAGTGGTTCTCAATCTAAGGAGAAGAAGAAGAATGGTGATCCAGGAAAAGTAGGGATGATTTGTGATCACTACGAGAAGACAGGGCACATAGCTGATCAGTGCTGGGAGAAGTATCATCATCTCAAGTCAAGAGGGTTGAAGAAGGAGGAGAAAAATGCATACATGATAGCTCAAGGTCTAAAAGAAGTCCCGGGGATGACAGAGCCTAACAGCAGTCTCAACCTTATGACGGAAAAGCAGACCACGGGAGAGGACGACGATCCGAGAGAGCAACTCTTTGTTCTTAAGTTGCAAGTAAAGACCAGTTTAGTTAATACCATTATTGATTTGGGCAGCGAGAAGAATTTGATATTTGAGGTATTGGTTCAGAAGCTGGGTCTAAAGATGGTCAAGCATCCGAAATCCTATCCATTGGGATGAATTCAGAAGGAGGAGAAATTGAGTATAGTTGATCAATACACTGTGAGATTTGCGCTCCACAAGAAGTATATGGATGAGGTCACATGCGACGTCGTTCTATTAGATGTTTGTCAGATTATACTGAGCAATCCGTACTTATAGGATAGATATACGATTTATAAGAGGCGGGCTCAGAAGTACACATTCACTAAGGATGGTGTAAAGTTCATATTTCGTTCGGCATCTCTTCCGAGGGAGACAAGCTTGGGGACGGTGACGCGAGCGAAGAGACTAGTGAATACAAGCAAGAAGTTTGTCTCGATATGCATTAGACTTTCAGAAAAGCCATCGATAAAGGATTATAACTTAGAGCGAACGATGATTACGATGAGATGCGAGATGGATGAGATGTTTCCGATCGGACATCGAGACCAGGTTCCTAGCAAGGCCAGGTGGTGCAGAAAAGATGGAGGAGCTCGAGAGTTTTCTCAGCAAAAGTTCTAACTTGAACGAGACTTCAAGTTCCTAAAGAGGGGACTCATGATACGAGTGTATCTTCTCTTTGGAACTTAGCGAACCTCATGGGAGCTTAAGGATAGATGATTCTCATGATAGCATGAGAATAAAAGTGTAAAACAGTACAATAGAATATAGGTGGAAGCATGAAAGGAGACGACGAGATGCATCCTATATTCTTGGTAGTGAATTTGAGAATAGGGGTGTAAAACAGAATCAAGTCAGCACTTAGTAGTGAATTTGAGATGAAAAAAGACATGGGAGATGCATCCTATGTTCTTGGTATACAAATCCTTAGGGATAGAAAGTCTAGAATGTTAAGTTTGAATCAAAAAAGGTATTTGTAAACGGTACTTAGAAGGTTTGGGATATAAAATTGCAATTCTGCACCAACACCTTTGGTTATGGGAAAGCGGTTGTGTAAAGAACTAATACGTGTGTATCTTTTTTTCTTTTTCGGGAGCTTAGTGATCATCATGTGAGCTTGAGGATAGGTGATTCTCATGATAGCATGAGAATAGAGGTGTCAATCAGTGCAATGGAACACAGGTGGAAGCATGGAACGAGACGATGAGCAGCAGATTCGAAGAATCCAGTTTTTAGCTCGTTAGTCGACTCATACATGTACATGAGTCGACTCATCAGGTTGAGTCGACTCATGACTGTCTTGAGTAGACTTATGAAACCTAGTCTTGTTAGCAAAGGTTTCTGACCAGTCGACTCATCAGTTATGAGTCGACTCATATGAGGTCATGAGTCGACTCATAACTGTTCATGAGTCGACTCATCGATGGTTTCCTGGTTAGTTTGGGTTTCTGTTCACACGAATTCCTGTTGGGATTTGGTCTGGTTATTTACTAGATTGTCATCCATGTTTGTACACCTATATAAAGGATTATTTTAGGGTTTCTAAGCAAATCAGGAATCAGAGAGAGAGAGATTCTAATCTTTGTATTAGGGTTTAGAGAGGATTGAGAGGTTGTTCTCGATTTTAGTGAGATTGTGAGGTAGAGATTGTAATCTTTTGTTCTTCATTATCTAGAGAAGGTATTTTTCTTCGCCAAAACTAAATTGTTATGTGTTTTAGTTATCTTCTTCTCAACCCACATTTTGATAATTCCACGACTAAAGAGTGCTCGCATGGCGACTCGTATCAATGGTAAGTAGAAAAAATGTTACTTGAGAAACCAAAAGCATAATGTTAGAAAACCTGAAGAACATTGAAATATAATCAGAACCATTTGGCAAAAGAAAGAATAGAGATGAAAAAATACCCATAAACATCAAAATATATTTAGAAGAAAACCATAAATGAAACCAATGTTTGGAAACCCTTCATATGTATAAGTTTCAGACTTTCAGGTTTCCTTGTTTGGTAACAATGGCAAGAGTTTCAGGAGTTTTGGTTGTTTTCCCAATTTCGAATTGGAAATATTAGTTTTCATGTTAACAACCTAATATCAACATTTTATATTTTAAAGCATTATTGAAAGTATCAGGAATGTTAGGGACAATGTAACTTAAGTATTACTGGCGAGTGCCACGGGTGGATCCACATAGAGGTTAGGTCGAGCAAGTGCCAACCTCAACTTGGAAAACTCCAGTATTACTCTACAAGAATATTTAAATATGTATCCACCCTAGGATTTTGATTCTATTTGCACTTTATCTAAATCTCTTTTTCCTAAACTTTAGTACATCTTAAGCAATAATGTTCATCTTAATTAAATAGGTTGGGTGTTATAATGCAAGATGGATAGATATAAGTTATATGATGCCTGATCATATTTATTGAGGACTGTGTTTGAGGATATTAGTATAACATAATCGGATTAACAATTTTAAATATAAACAAGCAAGTCCAATAACTTTTTTTCCTTTTTTGGAAAATTTTGAAATTGTATGTTGATTATATATATATAAAAAGAGAATGTGCATGCATTTACCTTTGTATTTTTCTACTCATAAAGAGAGAAAATTCCAACATCGCGAAGATGAGAGCTTGTTTCTTCTCTAGTAATCAGGTTGAGTCTCATCCTTTTTATCATGTTCTATCCTGTTGAGCAAAATGCAACAGAGATTTAATTAATGACTATCAAAAACATAAATTAAAATAAAATAAAAGAAGGAAACAATAACATGTATTTAACAGCATCCAATCTTCTTCGCCTCATCTAATCACAAAACTTGATTAGGGTTTGAATAAACCCGGGAAAGTTAATTAAAGATTATATTTGCATCGGTTGAGGAATTACCGATGGTATGGAAAGCACTGCCTCCAAGCTCCAGTCCTCTCTCTCCGACAATTGCTCGAATCCAGCAGCCTTCAATCGCTTCTTCACCTCATCTGATCACAAAACTCGATTAGGGTTTGAATAAACCCTGAAAAGTTAAATAAAGATTATATTTGCATCGGTTGAGGAATTACCAACAGCATGGAAAGCGGTCGGTGTTGCGTTCAGGAAGTCCACGAGGTCTGCGACGACAGAATCGATAACCATTTGCGGTGTTGTAGAATTTGCAGAGTCCTCGCCGATTGTTATGCAATTATTGAGTGATGAGCAGATGTTAGAACAATTAATTGTGCGAGATGAAGAGGCAGATGAGTGAAAGAATTTAGAGAGATGAGGGAGCTGCAGTTATTAAAAAATAGAAGAATCGAAGATGAAGAGGCAGGGGGAGCGGCAGAGCTGAGAACAATAAAAGAGGGAGAGGAAGAGACAGATGAAATAGGATAGGCCATTGATTTTTAATTAATTAAACCAGTAATAACAATTAAAAATCTTAATAATTTTGAACATTGAATGAATAAGATAGGGATATAGGATAAATTTATAATTAAGTAATTTGACAGGGAAAATGGTCATGCAAAAGTTTTGACAATGATTTTCTCTTTTAGAAATAGTATAGATATAGATATAGATATAGATTAAGAAGAAGAATGATATGATATCCTCCTGTTGGCTGCCATTAGTTTTAAGAAACCTATTCCCGAACTTGTTTTAATCAAAAATTACTTTAATTTTTTTGGAATTTCTTTATCAGATTTTTTTTTTCATATTTAAACTTTCTAGGAAATCAACCAAACAAACCCTTAACAGAGCATTTGAAAGTCATAGTACTTTTAGTATTTTCATGATGTTTTTTCCAAAAGCAAATTACCATGTCTTTGAAAACCATTGTGTTTTTGTTGGCCTATAATATCAAAAATGAAAAACACAACACATATCTCAAAACACTAAATATGTGTTTCAAATTTGGTGTTTGCGTTTTGAGTTTAAAGAGTGTTAATATAATGTTAAATATTCTATATTAATAATACATTTAATATAATATATTTGTTACATGGAATAACTTAATATAATATAATATAACATCATATACTATAATATAATGTAAAAATATTTTACATTATTTCTAAATATATCAATACTATGGTTAATACCATTAATTAATAATAATGTTATAATAAATATAATATAAATAGTTATATTTGAAATACTATTATATATATTATATTAATAGTGAATAATAATAAATAAAATATATTAAAATCTTAATAATATCATAAAATATATCATAGTATATAAATGACATAATATAATATAATAATATATAATATAATATAATGATGTATTATAATATAACGTAATATATATAATATAATGTAATATTATTTAATATATTACATTATGATATTAGTTTCCTCATATATCAATTCTCTGTTTAATACCATTAATAAATAGTACATATAATATTATAATTAATAATATATAATATTATTATATATTTCATATATACTAATTAATAAATAACCATATAGTAATAATATAATGCTAAATTATACAATAAAAAGTATTTTACTTTATTTTTTAATTAATAGAATATGTCATTAATGTTTAAATAATATTTTATATAATATATTTAAAATTTTAACACGTTATGTAATAATATTTAATAACAAAATAATA